TTGTTGGTACTTTGAAAGTTAAGTGTTTAAGAATATTAAAGCGAAAAGCTATTTATTGTTTCGTCACATGATGGCAAAAGATCAGCTTTTAAAAATCGGGTGCTAAGCGTTTGAATAACCACAAACAGGTGGTGGACATGCAGCAAGCAAGCACAGCATTATCCAACTCCCCTGACCCTATGTATGTCGTCTATATGTTTAATTATTTCACTATCTAACTCTCATCACCAGACAAAAAAATTAGCTTGAGCCAAAGGAGATTACAGACTGACTTAATTCTTGAAATTAATTTTAATTGCTGCTGATCTTGTTTATTTTCACAATGTTTGCTCTTAAAAGTCTTGAGGCTTCTTTCAAAATAAACCTACAATAAGAAGAGTGATGCGCTTTAAGGCACATGAAGGGAAAAATTAGATGTATACGCTTAAAATATTTTATTTGTTACTTTTTCCTCATGTAGTTTCTGATAGAATCTAGATGCGATTTTAACTTGCTGATAAGATATATTGATAGGATATATCTCCTAATTCAAATTGGAATATTAATAATGAATAGTTAATCATATCTCTCAATTACTTTGTGAAATACTATTACATTATCCTAATCATTAGGTGCCTTTTTTCTCCCTTTCTCTCGCCCTCTCCTTTCTTGATTATCCCTTTCTTTTATTCCCACACGTATAACTGACGTCGGTCTTGGCCATATTTTTTCCTGTTTTCAGTTCAAATCCTGAACCTCTTACAAGGCCCTGCCACTCATGAATTAAAAAAAAAAAAGAATTAAAAACACGTAAAATCAAAACAAAAGATCACATAATATATATATATATAAAATATTATATATAGTTTTAAACAAGTGACGCGCCGCATGTTCCACGGCGTACGAAATCCATTCAAGAAGCACGCAATTCAAGAGAAATATGAAATCGACAGCGACAAAATGTGTTATTAGTTATATATATACACACTGATTAATTAAAACACCAGAATTTTATGACCACACACAAAACTTTCTTCTGTAAACAAGTACAAATCCTGCATGTTCTACCATCCAGCTCAGTCGATCCATGTCTAAGGCCACACACATGGCTTTCAACTTTTTTCACAGAAGCTTATGATTAAAAACAAGCAAAGAAAGAAGAGGAGATAATGTTCGTCTAATTCAGCATTATTATAGCTAATTAATCTATCTGTGGTACAACAAAATAATTAAGGTGCATTTTGATTTGCTATCTAACTCAGTACACTGTATACTATATATATCCATATATAGATAGATAAGCCTAACCAATGGTTCATAATAATTGAGATGGATAGATGAAAGATATAGTGAAGTGTTGTAAGAAGCAGACAGGAGTGATACATGAAGGAGATGGAGTTGCAGCCAAAATGGTGGTTATATTACTGTCGACTACTTTTACGGCAAAACGGTACCGTAGCATCGCATTGATTAAGTAACATGACCCCAATGTTTTTGTCATCTTTTACTTCTATCAATGTCAAAAACCCTAGCGAGAGGGAGAAATTAAAACAGAAACGTGGAGTTATAATAATTGAACCTGGAAGGAGGGAAAGAAAAAAGGAGAGGTCAAGTTTGTACGTGGAAGTGACAAGTCTTCCTCAATCGTATCCAACTAAAACAACGAATATGATAATTGGCGAAAACAAGGCATGCTTCGCTTATATCATTTCTTGCTTTGGCCATATCATTTGTCTCTTTCGCCCTTGAGGAGTTAGATTAGGGTTTAGTAACTTTTGGAAGGACTCATATGCATTTATATACGTGGTTTCATTGAAATTTCTTTCATTCCGAGCTATTCCAATAATATATGGCAACTGATATCATCGTGATATCATCATTTCGTTATCTGTTTTGGAGTATATATCATATTTCTTTGACGAAATAAATTTAAGCTCAGACTTCGTTTTCTGCTTTGAAATATGCGTACGTGTGTACTCTCCCAAGTATAGCATTTAATTTCTTCATATGTATAATCAAGATTGTTATTGATGTGACGTTAATTGATGTTTAAAATATAGCTCTTGTTAAATTTGATGATTGATCAATGCTTTCAACCCAATTCAATGTTAGTATCAGGTAAGATGGTAATTAATCTCTCTGACGTTAATGAATTAATTTGAAGAAAAAGCTCTTGTGAGAATTTGGATTTAGTAGCACTAAAAGTAAGATACTGTTCTTGATCTGACGTAAATTGATTAAAGTAAAAGGCTCTCGTAAATGGGTGTGAGTGGCATTAAAAGTTTGCAGTCCACTTCAAACAATGTAAGGTAAGATTGTTATTGAACTGGCTGACGTTATTAGTTGATTATGAGGAAATTAAAAGGCTCTTACAAAATTTAGTGTGAGAGGCTGAGAGCCATGAAAGTTTAGAAAAAACTGGTTAAAATATACCTATTTAAAAGTTTTATTAGTTAAGGGGACCTAAATTTAAATGAGCATAACTCCTTTCTAATTGTTTATAAGATATTTTTAACCATGGGCAAATGATTTTTGTCTTGAATAATTTTGTCCATAGTTGAACATATGTCATTTACAAGTGAACAAAAGCTGCATTTGTTGAAGATGATTATAGAGTTGCATCAATCAGTACAATTTCTAAATGGAGACGGTTAACAAGACTTTTCCTGAAGTTTACGCTCTAATTATAGATTCAATGTTAATATAAGGTGAAGGTATTTTTATTATAACCTGAGGACGTTAATTAATTGAAAAACATGTGGCAAAAAATAATTAATTGAAAAATATATCTTGCTAAATTCGGTATGAGAGGCAAAATAATTGAAAGCTTTCGTCCCAATCCGATGTCCATCAATTATGAAGGCTTAAAGATTATTGGAGTAACTGAGTAAGAAAGCAATATGATCTCCACTAATTTATTTTGATAATCTTCAGCTTGCTTTTACTTTGGTTTAAATTAAAGCTTTTGTCTCAATTTTGTTTTCAGGTGTATTTATGCATGTGATTTCCATGAAATTTCATTGATGTCGAGCGATGTCAATAATATGCGGCCACTGATATCATCGTGATATCATCATTCCATTATCTGCTTTGGATTTATACACACACATACACATGCTACGGTCCTTATATAAAAGCTATACAATTAATCTGATAATACAAAAAATAGTTAAATTAGTTATTTATCATAAATGTGTATTGATTTAGTTATTTATCATGAATGTGTGTTGGTCTTCTTAAATTATCCTCTATAATCATGTGTATTGGAATCCCTTTTGGTTGGATTCTCTTTCAATCAATAGGGATGTTTTGGAAAAAAAATGAGAGACAAAATAGATTATGATCTTACATTTAAGACTAAATTCTAGTTCTTATATTAAATACTGAAGGTAATATATCTTATGTCGTTTGAGAAATCAAAATTAGCACACCCCCATTTATACACATTTGAAATACGTTTGTGAAGAATAGTACTCCCTCCTATCCTATTTATAAGCTTCAAATTGGAGGAGTGTGATCTATTTCATAAGCTTTAATTTGGTGTTTGTCTTAATATTTAATGCACTTTTTTCTCATTTCATCCTTAATTATTCATTCTCTCTCTTTTACCATAATATCTCTTATCACATTTTTCCAAACATGTTCTTTTCTTTTTTTCACATTATTACAAGGGCATATTTAAAAACAAAAATATATTTTTAATCTATTTATTATTTTTAACTAATTATTTATTATCTATAAATTAGTTATTTAAAGATTATAATAAGTTCGGGAAGGAGTATTAATTAGCCCAAAACAAAGGCGCTACTGAGAGAGAGACCAGAAGAATAAAGAGGTTGTTACTTTCTGGAGCATGACTAAGCCCAAAACAAAGGTGCTACTGAAAGAGAGACCAACAACAGGAAAAGGCATTTCCCCTTCTATGGCGTCTGGCGAACCATCATTCACAGATGGGCTCAAAAGTTATGGAAAACAGACCAGTGCTGTGATATGCCTCCTATACCTTTAACAATTCAGCCCAATGGGCTTGTTCTTGGGCCTGATGATAATTGTGCGAAACGTGCATTGGTAGAGAAGACCCATGTAGCTTTGGAATATGCACCAAACTGGGCCCCTTCTAAGGTCTGGGACAGCGAAATGAATGAGACCATATGGGCATAATAATAATAACAAGAAGTAAAAAAAATAAGGAGGAGGGAGAGAATCTAGGACAGTTTGACCGGTCTTGGGGAGAGAGTACAAGAGCAGGGCAGCGGAAGCAGAAGAGGGAGAGGGCCAAGGTTGAGCATCACGACAACCACACCCATGTGACTCCGCCAGTCATCAGATATGTGCTGCTCCTCCTGTTTCTTCGCGCTTTATAATCCTTCTTTAAAAAAAAAAAATCATAAAATTGCTGAAATATTATCACGTCATCAAATTTATTCTTCATATTTGTCTGAGGAATCCATCTCAACAGGCGCAACTCTGTTTTAATTCTTTTTAACGGCAAATTTTGTTACAAACGCTCGTTCGGTTCGGGAAGTTGGCCGATTCGAGTGGAGCCCACATGTGCACCTGCTCTGGTGGCCTCCTCGATCCCCCAAATCCATCACCCCCGCACACTGACTCACCCATTCACCAGATTATTTACTAACAACACCTTTGTAGAGTATATAATAGCCCCTGCCTGCCATCTCGTCTCTCCAAAGCTCTTCCCGCTGCTTTTATAATATTCCTATTACGTACTCTTTCCTATATATTAAATTCTGTAAAATCTGCTTCTGCTGTCACCTTCCCCCTTCCAATAACGCTTTCATTATTATATTTTAATACTGCCCCAAAGGTCATCTTTTTCCGCATCTTAAATTTCTTACCAAAAACTTCATCTTTAACCCCACTTTCATTCACTCCCTCCCTCTCTTGTCTGTTTTCTACTCTATATATTCCTGGTTTACCAAATAATTTCATTGATCCCACCCACCGCCCAGTGTATTAATTCTTGAATTTGATGCCTGAGTTTTTCGATAATTTCATTGACCGCACGGTTCGTTGAATGCCAACTATACAGAGGGGGGCTTTTCACGATCCGAGTCATGAGGATAAGCTTACTGCACCGTTCCCTCCCTTGCTTTCGTACTGCTACTGAATTATATGAGATTCCACAAGATTGAATCTGTGCGTCACTGTTATAATACGCCGGCCATTTCTCCTCCTGTTAATTTTCCTTCACTCTCTCTCTCTCTCTATCTTCCTTTCTCTCTGTCATCTAGCTTTCGCAGTTTCTGGCTTTTTCCGCGCCCTGTTTTTTAGCACTTCTCTTCTGTGCAGTACATGTGATGTAGCCCGGTTTTACTGTACGCATTTCTCTCTGATGGGGAAGAAGGGAGGTACCTCCTGGTTGACCGCTGTGAAAAGGGCATTTAGATCTCCAACCAAAGACACTGACAAAAGGAACCAAGAAGAAGACGAAGACAAGGTAACTAGCTCGCCGCAACTCGACTTCGATTTTCCCGTTTTCCCCTATCAGCCATTTCTGTTCTTGTCAAGAAAGAAACATCGATTTCCTGAACTCTTTTTGCAGAAAAGAGAAAAACGACGATGGCTTTTCAGAAAAACAGCGAATCAGGACGCTGCGGTGAGTATTCAGCACACCCCAACAAAGGAGAACCTCGATTCGGCTGCCACAACTGCTGGTCGTGCTCCTGTGCCGACGGTGATGGCGACGGATCAGAACAATGCGCTTGCCGCGGCGGTAGCAAAGGCTGAAGCGGCCATGGTCACCGCTCAGGCAGCAGCGGAAGCTGCTAGGTTTAAAAGGCCTTCGAATCAAGCCAGGGAGCACTATGCTGCTACGGTGATTCAAACTGCTTTTAGAGGATACCTTGTAAGTTTAGCTAGATCTGAGTTCATACATAAAATCCTTCACACCTTTGATAAAACGGCTATGAGAAGAAAAGAAATGAAAGTTAACTTACAGATTTCTTGAACTTCCAAGGCAAGGAGGGCACTTCGAGCGCTTAAAGGGTTGGTGAAATTGCAAGCTTTGGTGAGGGGTCATAATGTTCGGAAGCAGGCAAAAATGACCCTTCGGTGCATGCAGGCTCTGGTTCGAGTGCAAGCCAGAGTGCTTGACCAGCGCTCGCGGTTCTCCCACGAGACCAGTAGTAGAAAATCCACATTCAGTGACACCAACAGCGTTTGGGAGTCGCGGTATCTTCAGGATATTTCAGACAGGAGATCAATGGTAAGTGAAGAAGTGAGCCTTTTCATTTACTTTTTGAATGAGCAATTATGAGATGGGTAAAAAGTAAAGACCAAAAAGTATCTTTTCTGTTTCTTCCCAAGTTGTTTGTCAAACCACAGTTTCAGAGAAGTGTTCACTGATGTAAACATATTCCGTTTGAATTTGGTTTTTGGTCGCAGTCAAAAGAAGGAAGCAGTATTGCAGACGACTGGGATGAACGCCCACACACAGTTGAGGAACTTAAAGCCATGTTACAGCAGAGGAAAGAAGCAGCAGCTATGAAGCGTGACAAGTCATTGTCTCGAGCTTTCTCGCAACAGGTTCCTACATTACGCTGCTTTTCCCAACCTTCTGTGATTTTTTTTCCTTTCTCTCTCTGTTTTTTTCCCTTCATTTTCTGAAGTTCTTGAGCTGATATTTGATTGTATATCGGATAACAATGTCATAGCTTTTGAGAAATGGTTGGAACTCATCGATTGGAAATGAAGATGAACTGGAAGAGAGACCGAAATGGCTGGACAGGTGGATGGCTTCAAAGCCATGGGAGACCAGAGGAAGAGCTTCGACTGATCAAAGAGACACCATTAAAACTGTAGAAATTGACACTTCTCAGCCTTACTCATATCTGGGATCTAACTACAGAAGATCACATCCAAATTATCAATATAACCCACACCAACCCCAGAGACATTCAGTGGCTTCCCCACTCCACAGAAGCCACCCAAATAGCTCTTTTCATCAATCTCCTGCAACCCCATCTCCTGCAAAATCACGGCCTATCCAAGTCCGGTCTGCGAGCCCTCGATGTGGTAGGGAAGATAGAAGCTACCATACATCTCAAACCCCAAGTTTAAGGTCCAATTACCATTATTCTGGAAGTCTGTACCAAAATGGAAGGGTTGGAACGAGTATCAGTGGCGGGGGTACGTTGCCTAATTACATGGCTGCAACTGAGTCTGCAAAGGCCCGAGTTCGGTCTCAGAGCGCTCCGAGGCAGAGGCCATCTACGCCGGAGAGGGACAGGGCAGGATCAATAGCAAAGAAGAGGCTTTCATTCCCCAATGCTCCAGACCCTTATGGTGTTGCAATGGGTTATGGAAATTATGGGCATAATTTAAGAAGTCCAAGCTTCAAAAGCGTGAGTGCTTCACACTTTGGGTTGGAGCAGCAATCCAATTATTCTTCTTGCTACACCGAGAGTCTTGGTGGCGAGATTTCTCCATCTTCAACTGGTGATCTTAGAAGGTGGTTGAGATGATTAGAAGCCAAACTCTGATAACCATTAACGAAGTGTGAGAGATCTGCAGGTTCTTTGTCTTTGCCGGAAACTTGATATCTTTTTTAAGGGGCCATCTTAATAAAAGATTTTGATGCGAGAATTAATTTTCATTGACCCGCTCACCCTAAATTGATTGGGGGTGGCCTGAACTAGATGTAGGAGCTGCAAAGTTGCTAGGAGGCTGCTGATAATTATTGATGTGTGTTTATCATTCTTTTCAATGAATTCTATGGATTGTCCTGTGAAAAATAAGCGTAATCTCCAGTTTCTCAGAAATTTTCCCTGTGCTTGTTCCATCTCTCTCTGTTTCTCATCCACTGGGGACGACAACAAATCAATAATTGTTATGAATGATCACGCACAATTAGCACAATGTCCTTGCTTAGCTGTGTGGATAAGAAACTTCCTTCAATCTAAAAGATGCCAATTTATACTCCATTCATACTCAAGGAAATTACTCGCCAAAATCTTAGATCCATTTGGTGCGTTGAAAATAATCCAGTGCTATTTTGTGCCACCAATTTTATGTGATAAATAGTAACTTTTGCTCTAAATAAAATTCCCTGCAAAGCAGGCCTAGTGTGCAGTCGCGAGAAAAATGAGGATGTATATGTGAAAGATAATTAAAGCTATTGATGATACCAGTCGTACATGTTATTCCAAGATGAGCTTGGGGCTTGGTTCCCCTGATGCTAATAAGGGAAGAAAGTAAGGGCATGGAGCAGTACATTTATGAGCGGACGCTGCATCGTTTTGTGATATCAACCTTTGCGAAAGACAAGTGTTTAAATTATAAGCATGACCATGTAAACAGATACATAATTTTTCTCATATATTTACTTCTATTTTTATTTTGAAGAATTTTACTTATAAATAAGATTAAAAAAATCTTCTGTCATAATACTCACTATTCCGATTGGATTCTTTCCCCAAGAAATTGTTGACAATTATTTTCACACAGATTAATAAATGTAATTAAAATTTGTCAATTTTGTTAATTAAATACCTACATGTTTTCCTTTTTTTTTAAAATTATCCTTGCTCAGTAAAGTTTATTAAATTAATGCAGCCTTATCTCTCTTTACGTAATTAATGCTTATATAAATGTGTTAAGTCCCTTGTAAAAAGAATCAAGCCTCACGTAAAAATGATGGGAGTATTACTAAACATTATTGTCACATTAACCCGATTGATTGTTCTCCTGGTTCGATTTATACGAAAAGATAGAAGATTTTTTTTAATCTTATTTATAATTCACATCATTAAATTTCTTACATAATTGATAAATATACAATTTTTTAGTTTATTTATCATTGTATAAATTGTCATTTTGTTAACAGGTATATGTATTAAATAAATAAAATTAAAAAGTTATTAAATTTTAAGATAGAATTAATAAATTTTGAAATTATTTTTATTTCTGTAAAACATGTTAGAAATACCGGAATTAGAAAAATAATATGTTAGCGGCAGAGGGAATATAGTTCATCAATTCATCGTATCAACGGGTCTGCTCTTTGGAGGGGGGGGGGGGAACCCAGACGAATTAGCAAAACGCGGAGGCGAACAATCCAAAACACAGCGAAGCGAGTCAAAGTGTTCCGGATTTCAGTTTGTAGCTGGCAGATTGATATGGAATGATTACATAAGAGCTGGAGATTGGATTGGACTTTGGTGCATTCATTTCATACGAAAGTGAAAAGGAAAAGCATATTTCTATGACCAAAATAAGAATATTTGTTGGATGCTTAAAGCAACTCTATTAACTGTGTCTCCTCGCTCCTCTCACATCGATCAATGATTTGTACTTCTGCACAGTACACCCCACTTGGATAAAATGACCCTTTCATCGTCTAATTTGACCCAGAATTTATACTTTTTTTTAAAAATTCAGATATGTTAGTTTGAAAATAATCACGTTCAAAGCATTGAAAAGGATCAAGTGTCTCTCAACATGAACTCAAATCTTAATTCATTAACTTGTATACTAGTTCTTATGCTATATTCAACTCCTATCTCTTTTGGCCCCAAAAAAAAAAAAAACTCCTATCTAATTTACACCTTGACTTTTTCTTTTTTCTTTTTCTGGTATGCTACTCCATCTTCCTGTGACTCTCATTTAAGGTTTTCGGCTGCATCCAATATAACTGGGCCTGAGTCCGGGAACAAGCCCGATAATGAAATCGATGACGTGACATTCTTGCCCGCGGATGAAACCAGAAAAGTCAAACCTCGCAAAGTTAAAAATATGTATGATCAAATGATAGTCGTTCGGCGAATTGAATACGCATCCAAGTCAAAGGATGTCATCTGTAAGGAATATATAATAAAGGGCTTAAATCAGAATGAAAGCATATGAACATTATCTTCTAAATAAATAAAAAGGAGTGAAAGCAATGTTTGACCAAACGCCGGAGGAAAATACGAGGATTTAAAATAATGGAACAAATATTTTGCATAATGAAAAATTCTGAACTCACTGAAATTTGATGGTGATTTTACGACGATACAACGTGCTTCAAATTTTATTTTGTTTAGCATAAGAATTTTTATATTTTAAAATGCAAGCATTCTTGGTTAGCATATAATTGCAAAACTCATAATTCAAATTTTGTTGAGATAGCATTTTATATTAAGTGAGACCAACAGCGTTCAGATTAAGATGCTAAAAATGCATTTTATAAAATTAAAAAATTATTAAAACTTGATATAAATTCATAACACCTTATGAACTTTGCCAACCAAGGTGTGAACGGACTGGCTTTGATTCTTGATTATGTGTGTGTGTGTGTGCGCGTGCGCGCGCAAGTTATAGCACACTATGGTATCGTCATTCTTTGATAGTAATTTATATCTGATTTATGACGTGACCAGGACATTTATGTTTGAAGTCAAATTCCAAGGCGCTCCATCATTTCTCTCCAAAAGCTTCCAGCTGCTCTAATATTTATGCATATATATGCACATTATCGCTGGGCTAATACACTGATACTTCTCCAGATAACAAGGTTACAGTGAAGTTTCAATCAGCCATGAAGGTGCTCAAAACATCCTCTCTCATCATCTTCTTAGTTCTCGTGAATGGGGTTTTTTCGTCTCCCCCAGACGACCCCGTTAAATGCATTTCCAACAACACAAACTGCATCATCACTAACGCTTATGGCGCCTTCAACGACCGGAGCCCTTGCCGAGCATCCCAGGTACTGTACCCAGCCACCGAGAAAGAGCTTATTTCCATGGTGGCTTCGGCATCAAAATCCAACACAAAAGTGAAAGCAGCCACCAGGTATTCCCACAGCATCCCCAAGCTTGCTTGCCCCGGAGGCCAAGACGGGATCATAATAAGCACCAACAAGCTTAACCATGTAATGAACGTTGATGTGGTAAACAGAAGAATGACGGTTGAGAGTGGCGTGCTTTTGAGAGACCTGATCAGTAAGGCGGCCAAGAATGGGTTGGCGTTGCCGTATACGCCGTACTGGTGGGGATTGACGGTGGCGGGACTGTTGGCCACAGGGGCTCACGGCAGCTCTCTGTGGGGAAAGGGAAGTGCAGTTCATGAGTATGTGGTGTCGATGAGGATTGTGACGCCGGCGACGGCAGACGAAGGGTATGCCAAGGTGAGAAGCCTGACTAAGTCGGACGAAGAACTCAATGCAGCCAAGGTTTCGCTTGGGGTTCTCGGAGTTGTTTCTCAGGTGTGTCTTCATTCGTCTTTATCATCTCGTCCCATTAATTTACAAATATGATTTACTGGTTGATCAAATTCATTACTTATTTAATTTATAAATATGAACAATCTCTCTTCCACATCGTTTGATCCTCAAATAAAATAAAATGGTTCTGTAGATTAAAAATAACTCTTATTATATACATATATATATATATATATAATATTTAGCATACATCTTCTATCCAGTACTATGCTACTTCCGTGCCATCAGAAAAATTAATCCTCACTTTTGACGCATATGCTTCATGTGTCTCGCCAAACGAAGTTGTTCTCCATCTATTTGTGTTTAATTACTTTAGCTATCCAGTGATATAAATTAAATTTATTTAAAGTTAATTGGCACAATATTTTTTCATGTTTATATGGAGATTTCTTTCTTTGCAACGCATGCAGAAGTCATTCAATTATTTTAATTTTACTAAAATTAATTGAGAAAAATGTAGTTATGCAAGTGGTGGTTTTAATTTGCAGGTAACCTTACAATTAGAGCCCATGTTTAAACGATCAATTACGTACGTGACGAAGAACGATTCAGATTTGGGAGATGAATTGATTGGATTTGGGAAAGAGCACGAGTTTGGTGATGTGAGGTGGTATCCTTCACAAAAGATGGCTGTGTATAGAATTGACGATCGAGTTTCCATTAATCAGTCTGGAAATGGTCTCTATGATTATCCCGCACTTGGATCTTCTACCTCTGCTCAATTAGCTGCTTTCAGAGGCACAGGTTATTCATAGATACAATTCATTCATTGCAATTAATTTGCTGTAGTTCAACCAAATTTATATTATGAAATGTTCAAGTCTTTCCAGAAACTAAACTAAGGAGAAGTTGAATTTTCTGTAACAGAGGAACTTCAAGAAGCAACACGGGACGCTAATGGAAAATGCCTTAATGCACAGTTGGCGACTAGGACGGCTGAGGCATCCGGTTATGGCTTGACGAACAACGGTAATCGTTCTTCTTTCTCATTTTTCACTCACCCATTTTGATAAGCACGCTACGAACACTTTTTTCTTCGTCTATAGTTGATTTGACCAGCATTAAAATCACAACTTATTAGTTTCTTTCCGCACAAATAGGAACAATCTTCACTGGATACCCAGTGATTGGACAAAACAATCGCTTGCAATCATCTGGGTCATGCCTAGATAGTAAAGAAGACGGATTGCTCACTATATGCTCCTGGGATTCTAGACTCCAAGTTGCGTTCTTTTACGAAACAGCCTTCAGCATCTCCTTGTCTAGTCTTTCAAGCTTCATCAAAGATGTGGAGAAACTAGTTGAATTAGAACCACAAGCACTGTGTGGATTAGAGTTCTATGGTGGCTTCCTCCTGCGCTATGTCAAGGCTTCAGGTGCTTACCTGGGAAAAACAAAAGATTCTGTGGATTTTAATTTTGTATATTACAGAAGTAAGGACCCACTGACTCCTAGGCTTTTTGAGGACACTATTGAGGAGATTGAGCAGATCGGGTTGTTCAAATATGGAGGTTTACCTCACTGGGGAAAGAACAGGAATTCTGCATTCAAGGAAGTGATCAACAAGTATCCAAATGCACATAAATTTTTAAGTGTGAAAAGAAAGTATGATCCACAAAGAATTTTCTCGAATGAGTGGACGAATCAAATTCTAGGATTAAGAAAAGGGAAAATGATACTGAGAGATGGATGTGCTCTTGAAGGTTTGTGTATATGCTCAGAAGATCGTCATTGTGCTCCAACCAAAAAGTATTATTGCCGGCCTGGGAAGGTTTATAAAAAAGCTAGAGTCTGTGCTTTTGAAGGTTGAAATTGATATGAAGAAAAAGTTTTTAGTGGAAGAACGATTTAAATCAAAGGGCTTTTGGTAGTGAGAATGTGTGATATTTTATCTTTGAGATTTTTTTTTTCATCATCTTTGTAGTAGAATAATAATGAAATATTGTCATTTTAAATAAATGATATTAATTTCTTTAATAAAAGAACTTTAATGATTTTCTGTAATTTATAATGTGACATGTACTTCTAGTTTAATGCTATTTTCTTAAATTTAATCCCTAACAACTTCAATCACAAGATATATAAAGTAGTGAAGGTTTTCCCTTATGAAAGTGTAAATTCACCCTTTTAATACTCATATTTTTTTTTTGGCTAAATATTGATATTTGATGGTTAAATAAAAAAATTTCAAATATGATGAACAAGTTATGAATTTATATCCTAATGGAAGCGAAGTTGTCGGTCAATTGCGTGACGTCCTCGGACTTTTTTCATTAAACATTGTATATATTGTTCTTTTTTCCCTTTTTGTTATGCGGTATATGTTGTTCTTAATTCTTATTACTCCCATTTAAGGTTACTGTTTGCACCCAAATAAATGGGCCTGGGTCCAGACACCAGCCCAATAATAAAACAAAATGGATAATATTAGTATCACATTCTTGTATCCACAGATGAATGATTTTGAAAATTGTGAGTGCTAATGTAAGTGGCAATTTTCTTTTTGTAAAAAATCAAAATTTGGATGATGCCACATTAAGGATTATGTCCTGTGTTATTAGGTTTAACTCCTATATACTGTAACTTGTTGATTTGATCTAGTCATATAATTAACTATTGTGTGGAGGAAATATATAGATATAGGTGACTTTTAAATATATTTTACATTTGATGAAACACAAAAGTCGAACCTTGCAAAGTTTAAAATATATTCAAAGGATCAAGTTGAACATTGTTAATGTTGTAGCTGGATGCAGTTGAATGTAATACAGGAGTAGAACGTTGACAACTGTTAAAACAAATTTCCTTCTTGCTTGTTTTTTTTCCCTCCTCCACTGTGTTTTTCTCTGTATATCATCTCACAAGCAACACTTTATAATAATTTTAAAGAAAGGATCTTCTTTCTTCTTGTGGATTTTGTAAAGTTGCTTTGAGTAACGAAATGCCATTGTTCTGCATGTTTCAACTCCTCTGGGATCATATTCATCCAACTCCTTTACAGACTTTTTCACATCCAGGAGGGGATCCCCATTGGTGAGGAACTCAGCCAAAGTACTGCCTCTGCGCAAGTGAAAGCACAGCGAGAAAACATGAGAAACTGCTAAGAATTTAGATGCAGTAGATCGCATGCGTTTTAATTAAATACAGCCCTCGTTCAGTGAAAAGGTTGTGCCATAATCCTTCGCTGATATTAAACCCATTCCTCATGAAATTTATAGAATTAAAATTAGAATTATTAATTACAAGGATAAAACACCTGGGGTCCATAATTGAACTGATATGACCAAGTAATGGATTAAAAGAAAAAAAAGAAACTTCCTTATCACATTTAAAAGAGAAAGAGGGTGGGGAATTGGAAGTGCAACATCCATGGCAAGATGAAAATTCAACAGATTGTGTAAGAGTTGATCTCCAACATGCACATAGAGAGAGTACAGGCAGGCATGAATCATTAGCAATCAGTTCTCATATAATAAAACCTACGTCCAAGGGCATAATTTATCACATTTGTCTTCTGTGCCTACCTTTCAGCATCAAATCTGTTGAATCGCCTTCCATTGTGGTGCAGTGATCCCCTGATCTTCTGTTCCTCAGAAGTTTGCTGACGATAAAGAGCACATACAGCCTTTGAGGATCCTTTCCAAATGCTGCAAGCATGTCAGCCTCAAATTTCCACTCCCTTTTCTGATCTTTATTCCTTTGGATTTGTGAAAGAATCATCTTATCCCCATCAGATACATCATGTGAATCAGAGTCGACGTCATTATCAGATACATCATGTGACTTGCCAGATGTGTCTTCAGATGCAACAGGACCATGAGTAATAAGACCATTTAAGCTTCCCTCCTCTTCTGACTCATCATCATCATCAGTCTCCTCGTTCATAGGGATCCTTCAGCATCTCCTTAGCTAATCTTTCAAGCTTCATCAAAGATGTGGAGAAGCTTGTTGAATTAGAACCGCAAGCAGTGCGTGGAATAGAGCTAAACGGTGGCATCCTCTTGCGCTATATCAAAGCTTCAAGTGCTTGCTTGGGAAAAACAGAGGATTCTGGGGATTTTGATTTTGTATATTACAGAAGCAAGGACCCACTGACTCCTAGGCTTTTTGAGGACATTTTTGAGGAGATTGAGCAGATTGGATTGCTCAAATATGGAGGGTTACCTCACTGGGGAAAGAATAGGAATTTCGCATTCAAGGAAGCGATCAAGAAGTATCCAAATACACATAAATTTTTAAGTGTGAAAAAAAAGTATAACCCTCAAGGGATTTTCTCTAATGAGTGGATCGATCAACTTCTAGGATTTTTTTAGTAAAGATGCAATATTGAGAGATGGGTGTGCTCTTGAAGGTTTATACATATGCTCGGAAGATTGTCATTGTGCTCCAGCCAAGAAATGTTATTGTAGGCCAGGGAGGGTTTACAAGAAAGCTAGAGTTTGTACTTTCGAAGGCTGGAACTTATCTGAAGACAAGGTTTGTAGTGGAAGAATAGTTTAAATCGAAGTGTTTTTTATAATGTGATATTTTATATTTTTGATGTATCTTTTATTATTTTTGCCGTGGAGTGTCATTTCTCATAATTGATGTTAGTTTAATAAAGTAACGATATATATATATATATGATTATCTGTAATCTGTAAAGGCATATGGTACTTATAGTTTGGTGCTCTTTCCTTTAGTTCCTGCGAATTGCATTAATGGAGGTTTCTAAAACCGTAATCTGTAACCATGCAAGCCCAATCGGTTTGAATTGACACGGATGAGGGTAAAGCAGTCTTATCAACTCATTCTTATGCTTTATACTCATTGCATATCCGAATATATGTTGCGTTTACTCCTCCTGTCCCTAATGTAGGAGTGGTCAAAACTCAGGGACTAAGTTACACGTGATTTTTTCTTTTACCTTGAAGTTACAAATGAATTAAAACTATAGGGACCAAAACACTGATTTTTTCTTCGTTATGCATTTGACCCAGTCTATTGTGAATTGATGCCCGGTTCCTCCTATTTAAGGTCATGTTTGCATCCAAATACAATTAGGCCTTTCACATAAAGAAGTAAATTAGGCCTGGGTCCAGAAACAAGCCCAATAATGAAATGGACGATGACAGATGGCTTTTAAAAATATTTTACATTGACCAACGGGTTTGGTCTAGTGGAAGGAGTTAGTTCGTTATAATGTGATGAATTAAGATTCGAATTTTTATTGAAAGAGGTACTCACAGTTAGTGCACGACAATGTCTCAAATAGAATTGTCTTCAATAAAAGGATACTTACACTTTAGGGGGAAAAGGTATTTTAAATTGGATGAAACAAAAAAGTCAAACCTTGCAAACTTAAAAAATGACCGATAAAAAATGATCTGGCAAAAACGTAAACACCACAACATTATCTTCTAAATTAAAAAAAAAAAGTGGGTGAAAACAATGATTGGCTAAACGCGTGGAAAATACTCCTCCGGTCCTAATTATAAGACCCAATTGACTTATTTGAGGAGATTAAGGAAGTAAGTTAAGGTGGTTATTTATAATAAATAAGTGTTGTTATTCCTAAAATATCCTTGCTAATTAAGTATATTGGCTAAAACTATCATTATTAGAAGGATTATCTTGGAAAAAAATGCATAAATATAAGAGAGAAAATGGATTGGGTCTTATAATTAGGACCAAATAAAAAGTCAAATTGGGTCTTATAATAAGGACCGGAGGAGTACGAGGATATTAAACAATGAAACAGATGTTTGCGTTAGCAAAGAAGCGCGATCAACAAAATTTAAATGGTGAGAAATGTTTGCGTTAGCAAAGAAATGTGATCAACAAAATATAAATGTTGAGTCTATAATTAAATACAGATATAACATGCTTAAAATTTTATTTTTTAATATAAAATTATTTCATATTTAAAATTTTAGGCATGCTTTTAAAAGTATTTTACATTGACCAACGGGTTGGGTCTAGTGCAAGGAGTTAGTTCCTTATAACGTAACGAATTAATATTCGAATTTTTATTGAGAGAGGTACTCACAGTTAATGCACGACAATGTCTCGAATAGAATTACTTCTAATAAAAGGATACTTACACTTTAGAGGGGAAAAGTATTTTAAATTGGATGAAACAAAAAAGTCAAACCTCGCAAACTTAAAAAATGTACGATAAAAAATGATCTGGGCAAAAACGTAAACATCATAACATTATCTTCTAAATTTAAAAAAAAAAAAAAAAAGTGGGTGAAAACAATCATTGGCTAAACGCGTGGAAGATAGGAGGATATTAAACAATGAAACAGGTGTTTGCGTTAGCAAAGAAACGCGATCAACAAAATTTAAATGGTGAGAAATGTTTGCGTTAGCAAAGAAATGTGATCAACAAAATATAAATGTTGAGTCTATAATTAAATACAGATATAACATGCTTAAAATTTTATTTTTTTTAATATAAAATTATTTCATATTTAAAATTTTAGGCATGCTTTTAAAAGTATTTTACATTGACCAACGGGTTGGGTCTAGTGCAAGGAGTTAGTTCCTTAAAACGTGACGAATTAAGATTCGAATTTTCATTGAGAGAGGTACTCATAGTTAGTGCACAATAATGTCTTGAATAGAATTACCTCCAATAAAAGAATACTTACACTTTAGAGGGGAAAAGTATTTTAAATTGGATGAAACAAAAAAATCAAACCTCGCAAACTTAAAAAATGTACGATAAAAAATGATCTGGCAAAAACGTAAACATCATAACATTATCTTCTAAATTAAAAAAAAAAAAAAAAGTGGGTGAAAACAATCATTGGCTAAACGCGTGGAAGATAGGAGGATATTAAACAATGAAACAGGTGTTTGCGTTAGCAAAGAAACGCGATCAACAAAATTTAAATGGTGAGAAATGTTTGCGTTAGCAAAGAAATGTGATCAACAAAATATAAATGTTGAGTCTATAATTAAATACAGATATAACATGCTTAAAATTTTATTTTTTAATATAAAATTATTTCATATTTAAAATTTTAGGCATACTTTGTTAGCATTTAACTGCAGAAATAACTATTTAAATTTTGTTCAATCAGTATTTTCAATGAAGTGCGACAAATGATATTAAGGAACCGAAAAAATCCACTTTTATAAACTTAAAGAATTAAATTAAAATTTGATGCAAATTTTAAAAACAACGTATACTTTGATCCAATTCCTATAAAACTTCGCTAATCCACGTGTTAAGGGGCGGCTTTCTCTGGTCAAAAAAAGGGCTGGCTTTGATTGTTAAAATGTACGATAAAATATACACATGTACCTATCAATATGAGTGGCAGAATATTATGGTATCGCCATTCTTTCACAATTTATATCTGATATTTGAAAGTCAAATTTCAAGGCGCTCTAAAATTTCTCTCAGGCCCAAAAGCCCCCCGCCCTAAAATTTATATATAACCACACACATTATCACTAGGTAATACACAGTGAAGTGAAGTTTCAGTCAACCATGAAAATGCTCAAAACATCCATTCTCACCATCTTCTTTGTTTTCGTGAATGGGGTTCTTTCTTCTCCCCCAAGTGACCCCGTCAGATGCACTTCCAACAACACAAACTGCATCATCGATAACGCTTATGGCGCCTTCAACGACCGGATCCCTTGCCGAGCATCCAAAGTACTCTACCCTACCACCGAGAAAGAGCTTATTTCCGTGGTGGCTTCGGCTTCAAAATCCAACACAAAAATGAAAGCAGCCACCAGGTATTCCCACAGCTTCCCCAAGCTTGCGTGCCCTGGAGGCCAAGACGGGATCATAATAAGCACCAATAAGCTCAACCGTGTCGTGAACGTTGATGTGGAAAACAGAAGAATGACGGTAGAGAGTGGAGTCCTTGTGGGGGACCTGATCAATGAGGCGGCGAGGAATGGGTTGGCATTGTCACAGACGCCGAATTGGTGGGGACTGACGGTGGCGGGACTGTTGGCCACGGGGGCTCACGGCAGCTCTTTGTGGGGAAAGGGCGGTGCGGTTCATGAGTATGTGGTGTCGATGAGGATTGTGACGCCGGCCACGGCGGAAGAAGGGTATGCGAAGGTGAGGAGCCTGAGTGAGTCAGATGAAGAACTAGATGCAGCCAAGGTTTCACTTGGGGTTCTTGGGGTTGTTTCTCAGGTGTGTCTCCAATCCCATCCCATTAATTTACAAATGTGATTTTCTATTTGGTCAAATTCCTTACTTATTTAATTCATAATTACGAACAATCTCTCTTACATTAGTTACTTGACTTGTGTCCCATCCATTGTGTTTAATTACTTGAGTTATCAAGTGATATAAATTTAATTTGTTTACCTCAAAGTTAATTGGCACAATATTTGTTTATGTTTATATAAAGATTTCTTTCTGTCCAACGCATGCACGAGTTTTTTATTCTAAATTTACTAAATTTAATTAGGAAAAATATAGTTATACTTCCCCGGTCCTTAATATAAGACCTATTTAACTAATTTGATTAGATTAAGAAAGTTAGGTAAATTAGTTAATTATAAGAAATATGACATGTTTTTTCTAAAACACCATAATCATCTTTTTTAATATCCTTCTTCCGTCTTCTACTTGATTATGATTGAGGGAGTATCCATAGGGGTAATTTAGAAAAAAAAATTTATATATATGATAAATAGGTCTTATACTTAGGATCAAAATTAATTTAACAATTAGATTCTATATTAAGAACCGGGAGAGAATATAAGTGGTGGTGGTTTTAATTTGCAGGTCACCTTCGAAGTAGAGCCCATGTTTAAACGAGCAATTACATACGTCACGAAGAGTGATGCAGACTTGGGAGATGAATTGATTAGATTTGGGAAAGAGCACGAGTTTGCTGATTTGTCGTGGTATCCTTCACAAA